TGTGAAGTCATTTATGAAGTCCTTTACAACATGCAGTCAAAGAGGTTAATTGAAAAATTTCTTAATGTCATTATGAAAGAACTAGATTAACCCAAGTTAATTCACTTTATTGTTCAAAATAAAGAGGAATAAGCATTGAACTCACTTGCAAATTTGGGGCATGAATTAGGGGTGAGATGTTGTCTTTAAGGACTCTGCCAGTTTAATTAAGATATGGAAAATTACTTATTGTTCTTCACCACTAAAGTGCTAGGAATTAACAGCCAAATGTGATGCCTGTGCCTTTCATATCTCTACCATGTGTTTGTTTGTTTAATACCCATAAGACTACATCATTAAACCTCGAGCACTGATTTCACTAATTCAGCACTAGAGCTACAAGCTACAGCAGCAAACACCTTTTCTAGTCAATCATAATGGAACAGCTGGATGTTAAATGCAATATTATTTTTAGGTTGGTATCTAACTTTGACTTCAAACTGCAAACGGTATTTTCCTCCAAAACAAAATGCCTTCCTATCTTTGTAATGCATCCGCTAAGTATAGCAGTAGCACCGCCACAGCGTGCCATCTATTCTCCCCACTTCATGATTTCCTCAGAGCCTTAGAAGCTGCTGCGAGATGCTAACATCATCACACCCTTTTTCTTCCTTGGAGCAATGGCCGCCTTCGGTGAAACGTAACGCAGTCTGTTTGTTTTCCTTTAGGAAGTATTGCTTAAGAGAGCAGCAGACCTTGTGGAAGCCCTATATGGGATGCCCCATAACAACCAGGTAGGTCACCAGTGCAGCTCTCGCGTACATGCTTACACATGTAAATCAATACCTGCTATTTGCAAAGCTGGCAAAGTGTCAACACATTCTTTCTGTACACAGCGTGGTTTTGCCAGCCACCTTGAGGGCAGTCTGATGTGATGCAATGCTCCGAGGGAAATGCTTCATCTTCCCGTTCTCCTCTCACCGCTAGTTTGCCCATCAGAAATGACAATTAAGCGTAAGGTGCCAAAAGCATAAGCAATCATTAAGGCAAGAGAATAACCTTGAATTTGGTCCAAAATATACAGTGACTAATGGGAAGTCCTAAATAAATCTGCTAAACAGACCGAATAAAACCTACTGCCTTTTGCGAACTGCTGGAAATACATCTACCGCGCTGGATGAAGAAAATACGCCTTTACAATTTGCACATGGCTTGCAATGCTTAACTGTAATTTTGTATTAATTTCCTTATTTCTTTAAGCATACTGCATTGGCGTCACATTGTATAGTGGTTCGGTATAGAAACGTGAGTTCGAGGCAAGCGAAATCCCCAGGCTTACCTTCGTTTTGCATGAATCTCTTCTGTGGATGTTACCATGATGAGAACTTTGAGCTTTTGCACAAATGTTTCCTAGCTGCTACTAATCATTCTGTGTCTTTATAGGAAATCATTCTGAAACGAGCAGCTGACATTGCTGAAGCATTATACAGCGTGCCACGCAATCACAACCAGATTCCTACTCTAGCCAACACTCCTGCTCATACTGGCATGATGGGAGTGAACTCGTTTAGCAGCCAGCTAGCAGTCAATGTTTCAGAAACATCACAAGCTAACGACCAAGGTATGTGGGCTTTCAAGAGTTAATCCTTCTTGGCTGTGTTTGGACAGTGCCTATTAATATTGGCTAATGTCAGCGCTGTGTTCTACCTCTTTCTCTCCTTGTTGTATGTCTGAGCGCGCGATGAAATGCCATCTTTAACTTTCTCATAATACCTAATTCTTCCTGTTCTTCTGTTTACTGTTATCGTAAAGCATCTCTGGTGGAAAAAGAAATTGGCAAAGCCTAGAAAGCTCTTTATTATTCACAGTAAATATACAGTGTGTTTGTTTATTATAAAATAATTATGTCTAGGTATCTCCACCTGTTTCTGAGTATTTGCACAGATAAATCTAATTTGATGTCTGTGATTGTAAAGTATTTTGTTTATAAGCATGTGTGACATATATGTTACTAATAAAAGAAATAGTTGATTTAATTTACATTTCGTAATTGAAAACGCATGTAGCATATTGCATTTAAAATTAATTTTGATACTAATGAAAGGAGTGAGACCAGATTATTGGATATGTTCAAAACCGTATTTTTTGCTTGCAACATAATTATTAAATTGATTGCTCAGATAGAAAAAAATGTTGTTTAAAATCCTGATTCTGCTATCTTTCCTCTTATAAGAGATTGTCTTTTAATGCATTTCCAAGCTAATAAGCCTTATAAAATTCTGCGCTTGATCTTGAATTAGTTTTCACTGATGACTACACCTTACGAAAGTGCCAGCTTATTGTTAGTATAAAAATACCAATCATAAAACGAAGACCCCAAAACAGCCTTTTAAAGTAACTCACTGCAAACAATAAAGTCTTTCTCGCCAGCTCTGGCATTTGAAGGTCTGAAAGTTCACGCAGTGTGTTGGTACCAACCAGGACTCAAGCCTGTTGATAATTGCTACTAAAGACAAACGCGAAGCAAACTGACACAGCTGGATCGAAGAGAGCTTTTGTTGGCTGTCTATGCTAAGAGGAGAGACAACATAGAGTGCTCGCAGATGATTTAAGTAGGGTTGGCGTGATAAGGTTATCTCAAACTGCAAGAGTTGATAGGGCAGTAACAGACAACTCAAAGCAAAGCTGTGCAATCAATTAAAACTGTGTAATATATGATGCATGAGGAAACCCCCCAGCCCTAAGTTTATATTATAAAATAACATTATTTTTTTGGGGTGGGGGGGTTTCTAACACAGTAGGTTACAGTCGCAACACAAGCAGTGTTTCCCCGCGAGGATATGTTCCGAGCAGTACTCCTCAGCAGTCCAATTACAACACAGTCAGCAATAGCATGAATGGATATGGCAATGCCGGCATGCCCAATCTAGGTGTACCAGGTTCCCCTGGATTTCTTAATGGCTCCTCAGCTAACTCTCCTTATGGCAGTAAGTGTCTATTTTTGGTAACACATCATCATATAGATTCATATTTACTACAAAATCAAATACTTGCATTGTTTTGATTTTCTATATCGTGAGCTACTGGATAAAAGGAGGGGTGACTCTGGAGGCTGGACGTAAAAATGAATTTAATAAATTGATCTGTTTGTGCCATAATACATTCTCAGATAGAAAAAAAAAAAAAAAAAATTGGACTGCACAATTTGTAACAAAAGTCCAACACAAAAGAGTTTGCCTGTTATCCAGAGAGTGGCCAAGCCAAGGCATTTCATTTCTTTTTTTTTTAATATATATTTATATATATTATATATATATATTTTAAAAGGCAAGGCCCTATCACTCTCTTTTTCCGTGTTTGCCGTGAAAACCTCAATCTGAGTCCTGATTATTTTTGCTTTATTGCAGTAGTGCCGTCAAGCCCTACCATGGCAGCCTCTTCGGTCACCCTCCCTTCAAACTGTAGCAGTACACACGGCATTTTCTCATTCTCACCTGCCAATGTCATCTCTGCAGTGAAACAAAAGAGCGCCTTTGCTCCTGTTGTCAGGCCCCAAGCCTCTCCTCCACCATCTTGCACCAGTGCAAATGGAAATGGACTTCAAGGTGAGCCGGATCTCTCAATTTTCTTTGTATTGCTTTTTGGTACATACACTAGAACTACTGATGGTTTGTGTTGGAGAAAGGTACCTTACTGTATTTTTTGGTTTCTGATGCTCTCATGGTGATGTAGAAGAAGTAGAACAGCGCACATGACATGCTAAGATTTTAAGCAAATCTGAGGCCAGTTTTCATATTTACCGTTCAGAAAACTCCAGTTGTCGTGACATTTTCCCTCAAGATTTCATACATTGAATATTAATGTAAGAACGTATCCCCTGATGCTTCTTGGAGGTTTTGTCTACTCCTTGCATTTCCTTATACACCTCTGAATACAGTCATATGGACGTTTGAAGACAGCAACATTCCAGCGTAACGTGATGCAATTTCCTCACTTTACATGAGATGCAACAGGTATTGTCAAATGCTCCAAATTAGGAGAAATCAAGCTCTTATTGAGCAAAGCTTCCCTTGCACCATCTAGCCACTTGTGCAGTGGATTTGCATGCTCTCTGGGCCATAATTCACTCACTAGTGTTACATTTGTTACTTCCATAAGTGAATATCCAGTATTTTAACTGAATTAGGCAATTACAAACTATTTCTTCTCTCTCTCTTTTTTTTTTTTCTAATCTGCACAAAATTCGTGTGGTGTAGCACAATGAATAATTTGAAAATTGGTCACCTGCTGGTAGTGGGGCAGGAGGAACTATGATACAGTGTATGTTTTGTGGAAGAACAGAAATACGAGCAAAGACGCGTTCCCTTTTGTGGCATATTTTAAAGTTGAGAAGGTAGCCCTGTCCCATTCATTACAATCATGGAAAAGGTTTGCTTGCCTGTGTTCTCCAAACAAAGAACCTATCCCACATGGCAGCACTGCAATTCAGTGAAATTCAGGAAATCAGAAAGTGCTGCAGACAGTGTCACCTGGGGGCTGCGACTCTTCTTCACTTTCTTAGCTAAGATCAGGTAACTCTTATTTATTCATAGCGTTGTCACAATACCCATAACAAGATGAGCACTCACTGCCAAACAGGTGAAGACGTACACTGCAATTTGCCAGGCTGCCTGCTGATTTTGGATACCTCTGTTCTGTGATATCTACCTCAGGGCACTTCCAAGAAACCTCATCCTACAGAACTGACTGCCCACCAACGGTCCTACCATTCCAGACCAGTGTCTCAGAATGAATGTCCCTGTATCATAGCTTGTTAATAACTTCTTGGTCCAGAGAAGATAGCATCTGAGAGCTTATTATGCACTCAGGTCAATGAAGGACTGAGGATCCAGCTGCACAAATATTATTGTAGGGTGGATGTTAAAGAAAAGGGTAATCAGATTAACAATTTACGCCACTGCATAAGTCTTTCAAGTTGAAGCTTGACTATGCTGCAGTATATAGAAAACCAGACCAAGCATAAGCAATATTCTTAGAGAAGATGATCCATTTGTAAAAATAATCCTACTTTCTTCCATATAAAAATATAAAGCTTAAGAATTAAAAGAATATATGAATATAAAAATTAAATAGTTGCCATTTCAGCAGGCGAGTAAAGGGCTTCCCACTTGCTATCCAAGGTTTCAGGTGCTTATAAGATCTAGGTAACTGCAGAGTGGGGTTGTCAGAAGAGTGTGAGCAGAATGCCCAATTCCCAACAGACACCGAGCCCTAATCTCCTCCAGCACCTCCAGCCCTCCCAGTAATCATCCACTGTCACCCTCAGCTGAAAAATGCCCTTTGTGTAAAATCCTGGCAGCCCATTTGGAGTGCACCAGTGCTGACTTAGTTGAGCTGAAGGCCCAGCTGTCCCCGTGCTGAGGGTGCTGTGACCCAAGCGGCAGACCTGGCATTGCCCACAGTGAATTCCCTCCTGCAGGTGCTGCTAAAGCTCTAAGGATTTTTGGTTACATACCCCAGAGACCTGAACCGTTGTGTTACAGAGCTGTCCCTGCAGTACTCAGCATGCGAAGCTTCTAAAACATGAGGGCACTTAGAAGGTTCAGCCTGAGCTGATGGCAGAGCAGGGGGTTTCCACTTCCTATTTTCTTAGTTATCGTTGGACACAGAGCCCTTTTTAAAGTTTAATTACTCTCTTTCTGAGCACTGAACAAGAGGCCGTGCAGAAACCTCTTATTTTTTGTTCAGCAACCAAACTGAAAATGGTTGAGGTGTTGATCTGGGGAAAAAAAAAAATCATGCTGTCCTCACCCTGCTGAGACAGCAAAACCAAATCTTGCATTGAACAAAATGACACAGAGAAATATCAGGAAAGTCCTTCTGGTCTGGTAATTACAGCACCAACTTCCAGGCTGTGGCAAAAACTCTGATTATTTATGCAAGGTAGCACTTCACCTCCAGAGGAAAGTTGGAACAGGGCAGTTGGGGTAAAATCTGTGGGTTTGGGTTGTGTGAGAGAAAATCAAATTGCACCTGACACATCCATGTGAGTGCCTTCATCACCATGCCGAGGGGCATCAGCATTTTTATCCAACCAGAGCTGCCCAGGCTGAGCTGCTGGCAGAGCAGGGCATTTCTGCTTCCTATTTTCTTAGGTAGTGTTTGACACAGAGCCCTTCCTAAAGGTTAATTACTCACCTGAGCACTGTACAAGAGGCTCGAGAGTTTTCTGATCAGCACGTCAGACCACATTTTGTATGTTAAAATACAACACAGAATATTGAAGACCATCGGGACCGCAGTGGTCCTCAATCAACAGAGCCTCTCTGCACAGCTGAAAGCACCATTAGCAATGGCCGTGGACACTGGGTCAAACTGAGACAGAAGCAAAAAATTCATGGTCACCAGTGATTGTTTTTAAGGTGAACCCTGCAGCTGATGGATCTGGGTAGCAGAGGATGACGTGCTCTTTTAACCTGGAGCAGGGCGTCCTCTCTATTGTTGCTTGTCATTTTCTGCCTACATAATTCTGAACTAATCAGCTGTTTTTCACCCAGCGCTATGGGAGGTGGTTGGCTGTGGCAAGGTATCAGCATGCTGACACAGTCAGGCCATACAACTCCCCATTTTTCACATCAAAGTTTGTTATCACTGTGAACAGATAGTCAGATGAGAACATGGCAAATTCCTATACGCAACAGACAAGGGCAGTGCTTTTATGGGGCTTTGGGGTGTTTACTGCAGCAGTTCTTGCTAAGCACACCCCTGTGGGATTTGTCTGTGCAAAAAAGATTCTGCTCTTGGTTCTTCTGAGATGACTGCCAAGGACTGACCATAGAGAGGTCTGTAACCAACATAGGGACTCAATATTTTCCTAAAGAGATTCAAGAAAGAGGGTAGGAAAAATTCACAAGCATAAAAAGAAGACAAACCAGTGAAATCAGTGCTAAGGTGTAGTCTCCTTCCTTGCTACATTCACGATCCATTCCTCCTCGCGCAGTGTTGTGAATACATGCATCCTTTGCCAATTGATACTGCAATTAGGGTCAGAACTTGGAAACTGCAGCTCGCAGAGAGAGATGCACTGCAAGTATGACTCGCTCCTGTAAGCTTGCAGAATGGAGCCTTTGGGCCCTATCCAAAAAAAAACACAACCTCGTTAACTTTGTATGACTTCCATTAGAGAGCCTATGATCAGAAAGTTAAGCACTTCCATGTTTCTTAAGAGCAGGATGCTAGAATATGGGTTCCTCAGGGCAGAGAGCTTTTTCCTGTTCAAAACAACGGATGTATAAGGTATAAAATATTTTTTTTTGCACAAAAGTACTACCTTGCTGTAAAGTTGGAAGTGTGTTCAGAATTCAGTTTTCAACTGTAATTTTCTTGTAATTGACTTTGAAATCGCACTCTGGATAAGCCTTATGACTGTAATGCAGAACAAAAGGTTCTCTACATTCTTTTAAAACTGCATCCTGCTTAATTTTCCGGTCTCCCCCCAGTTGAAACTATTGTTATTTAAACACTAGCCACCCTGTTTTTCTTTAGGGAGGCATTTGATATCAATTTGCACAGAAAGAACCAGAGAGCAGCAATTCGCGATTGTCAAATGTCACAACTAAAATAAATAGCAAAATAAAAGACTAGAACAATGATTTTGCATCACCTCCCCATTGTGCAACAGATGGAATTTGACAAAAACAGCTGAATAGATTAAACAAAAGATTTCAACCCTTATTCTCCTGAAAAGCATGCAGCAGCTACCTATATTTTCACAAATATGCCCCATCCCTGCAGGCATTCAAGGCCAGGCTGGATGTGGCTCTGGGCAGCCTGGTCTGCTGGTTGGTGACCTGCACACAGCAGGGGGTTGGAACAACATGATCACTGTGGTCCTTTTCAACACAGGCCATTCTATGACTCTACAATTCTAAATCAGAAGCTAATTATGAGCCTTTCAATAAACATGTGATTAAAAAGTACAGGGTAGTATTGCCAGGTATCTGTGTGCTCTTAGCGCGTTTCTGCACACAACTTCTGGAAGAAAAGTCCAGATTCTTTTTTTTTTTTCTGCAAAGTTTTCATGTGAAAAGAGAGCAGAGCAGATGAGCACTGCTCACTCACACTGTACTCAGCATGCTGGCACAGCCCATGTCCCCCCAACACCCCGACATGGAGCAAAGTGATGGATACCAGCTGAACATGAATGCAGGATACAGAAGCGCAATGTATTTTGAGATGACCTGTGCTGATCCTGCTCTCCAGGGTAGCTGGGGGTTGTATTGTAATAGAACAGATCTCCAGTTGGCTTTGGACGCGCTCTCATGGTCACAAGTGCCCAGGCTGGGGGTTTCCCTTCCCATCCTCCGGGGTGAATGGCACAGCCATTCCCCAATGGGATGGGAAGGCCAAAAAGTGAAAGGGAACCCAACCTGTGAAGGGTTGTCCCAGAGCTCTGTGCTCCTCTTACCTTGTTGAATATCCAATGGAAGCGTGGGATGCAGACTGAGTTCTCCTGCTGGAAGCAGTCTCTGTAAATAAATCACCATTCACGAGCTGTTTCGTTTCCAGTTGTGTGACTTCTGTCCCGCTTCAGGTTTGAAACATGCACTGAAATTATAACTGTAGCTCCTGGTTGTTGTAGGGGACTCTGCTACGTCGGGAATGTGTGTGTACACAAGTCTTCCAAACCATAAAGTTGTACCAGGGAATCTGAAATAAATTAATATTGTTGAAATTAATGAACTGAGAAATTGAAGTGCACATCGCTACAAGAACAAATTTATTAATATCTGTTGTACATAAATTAATGAGAAATATCATTATGACAAAAATTAAACAACGCTACAATTAAAGACAGTCTAAATTATGTTCCTACCAAGGAGTTAACCGGAGAAAAAGCAGCAGGCTTTGGCATCTCAGTGTAAAACTGGAGGAAAAAACGAGATGGCGGGATAGGGATATTAATCTCGTGCCTTTTTATAGCAGTCGGTGTATGGATTTGAGAGCAGGTGTACAGCACTCGGCTTTGATCTTAGAGAGTCCTTGACTTGCTTGGCCCCGCTATTGTGATCAAGTGCAATTAGGAGAACGTTGGCATGGAGGTTTTCTGCTCAGGCTCCGGTTCTGGGGAGGAAGCGGAGGTTTGCGGGGCTCTGCTTGCTGGGCCAGGCTGTCCCCCAGGGCTGGCTGCTAACAGAGCTCCGCCAGCAAAAGAGCGTTGGGATCTCCTTTGGAACGGTGCAAGGGCGCTGTGTCGGGAAAGCATTTGTGCAGCCTTCCTCCGCTCCACGCAGTGCTGGATGCCAACGGGCTGCACTATATACACCATATACACATGCTGTGTATATGGGGACACCCCATGTGATGCTCCATGTCCGCCCGCCGCGACCCAGACGTGCCTTGTTGTACAGCATGCAATAACAGCCGGTTTTTCTCTTTTTCTTTTAGCTATGTCCGGGCTTGTAGTCCCGCCAATGTAAAGTCATTTTGTTTACCTACCGTAGCGCCAAGCTTCAAGGATGGGCTTAGGGGACACGTTTAGTATATTAAGACATGCTGATGGAAACAGTGTCTTCAAAACAGAATCAGCAACAAATCGAAATGCTACAAAAAAAAAAAAAAAAAAAAAAAAAAAAAAAAAAAAAAAAAGACTTTGTTTAAAGATTTTATTTAAACTATTAAGAATCTACATGCAAACAACCTACTTCTTCATGAACAATTCCATTTTATTGACTGAATTTTTTCTCATATTTTCACATTTCTCAGTCCTGAAGAATAAGGAAAAAGCGACGCCTATTTTGTATAAAGTTTCTGATTACGTCTTGGCTATGTCTAGTACTTGCTATGTGTTGGGAGAAACTTTGTGGATGCACCATTTTGATTATCATGAAACACTGATGAAAAATGCCTCCGAACATTTTTCTGTACTCATAACTAGATTCACAATGGTTGTGTATCTCTATAATGTGAAATATTTTTTTGTGGTGGAACAAAGGGGGCCAAGGAGGTCATGAGCCATCAAACTGGAAGAAGGATGAATATATGGTCGGAACAAACACCGGGGCGGGGGTGGGCGCGGGAGGGTTTACCATTGCTTAACTTCATCTTAATGAAATGGAACTTTGTAACTTATTGTAGTTAGAAATTGTAACTTTGATATTGAATTCTCTTGCCTTCAACAAGCACACTGACAGAGAAAAAATTGCTACTGTCTGTTGGTAAAAACCTATACTTCCACTGCTAGAGCTTCCTGTTAAGCAAGTGTGATCTGCAACATTTTTTCAACTTTTGCTAGCACTGTATACTATTGCATTCTTAGGCTACTGTGAAGTCTATGTTTCTTGTACCAGAAAATTGTCCTTTTGACTTCTAGATCCTTCTTCCCTAATGTGTTTTGTATGTGGTTATAAAATTGTAGACTTTTGTGATTTTGCCAAAGTTGTAGCTAAATATTTATACACTTGTCTTGAATTTTTTTCAGATCCACTTAAATATCTAGAAAAGCAAATTTTATTCCTTATGAAGCCTGTAAGGAATAAAATAGTCTTACCCATCGCAACACCTTCTTTCACATAAACACTTGCAGTCACTAAGGGAATTTATTTTGTAACATATCAACTATAAATATTGTATTTATCTTTGAAATTTTGTATATTGCTTTTCATCATTTTGTTTTCTTGTATGTATTGGTTTTTGTCATGGCCTGGTTATGGTGATGCTGAGAACAGCATTCAGCCAACAGCAGTTGCCTTCATGTTTTTCTTTGAAGTAAATCAGCGTCCGTGCATTTCATTTGTACTTGGTGAAGTTGCTATTATTTCGACTCTCCATCCTTTTCGTTCCGTCCTTTCTTTTTTTTCTTTTTCTTTTTTCCCTTTTTTTATTATTTTTGAGGAAAAGTCAAATTCATCGTTTATTTTTATATGATTTTTAAGTTATCAGAACAAATAATTTTGAAAAAGAAGTTGTTTGTTGTATAGTCAAACCCAATTTGTGCCACATGGCTGTAATGAATACTAGTAGAATATGTGCATGTGATACAGCCACAAAAAAGAGGAATCTGTTTTGTGGTTGCTTTTTTTTCCCCCCTTTTTTCTTTTCTTTCTTTTTTCTTTTTATTTTTTTTATTTTTATTCCCTTTATTTTCCTTTTCTTTCCTTTCCTTTCGTTTATTTTATTATTATTGTTTTTTGTTTGCTCCATTTTGTTTTATTTCAAAGGCTGTAACAAATCGTTGTTAGCTGCCACCCATGACTTTGCCACGTAGCTGAACTGTGTTTACTGGGAAAAGTCAGAGGCCTAAAAGTTTAAAATAAATTCACTTCTGATGTTTTAATTAAAACGTTTGCCACATTAACTTCTCCGATGCCTTAAAAGTGAACTTCTTTGAAGAACTTTTGTGCTGTTTTATCACAGGCTTACACCACAATTGTTAACCGCTACTTCATTTGGGTGATTTCTGGTGTAAAAGAAAAGCACAAACCCGGTGTACAACTCTATCACTCCTTTATGTGTCTATTTTCTGCTGCACTCTGCATCCTCCCGAACCCTGCACTGTTTAAAACAGAGAAAAGTTTCACTCGAGATCAGGATCACACGTGATTTTTAAACGCCTGGGGTTTGTTTATTTCGGTTTCTCGCTTTTTTTATGGAACTTTTTGTAATAGACCCACAGATGACTGTACTTTTTAAACTGGAATGACCTCCATCGTGTTTTGTGGCTGTTAGTGCCAAATCCATAGTGAGAAATGTTTCTGGTTTTCTTTTACTTTGCACTAAATGGTTTGCAAATGCAGCACTGCAAAACGTTTTGCAAACTGCAGCAGAATTAAGGTTTGAACCAAAAAGGAGGGATCTCTTTTTTTCTTTTTTTTTTCTTTTTTTTTCTTTTTTTTTCTTTTTCTTTTTCTCCTTTCTGGGCAAAAAAATGCACATTTTAGTAAAGTGTTTATTAAAGGGTTTAAAAGAATGATACAGTGTGTCACAGCCAAGAAATGCCCCGCGCGTTTCTTTGGTGATAACCAATAAGGCTTAGCTAAGTGGAAAAGCCTGAGAAGTCACTTTGGAACTGAATTGCCTCAGTTATATTTTGTCTAATGACGTTCTGAGCTAACGAAGAGGTCACGTGTACATGTTAAAAACATCTGCAACTTTCTTCATAACTGCAACCTGTTTGTGTTTTAGATTACTTAGAGCAGCCATCGCTTCATCGTCTCCGAACGGAAAGCTTCACTAAATGGTAGATTTTACTGTTAAAGACCCTACAATAAGATTGTTTTATCTGTACATTTTTTCATATATTTAACTGTATAAAAAAAAAAAAAATGTTCATTTTACACAATATTTAATTAAAGTATTTCTTGTCTGTGAATTTCATTTTTTAGTAAGTTTATCTGGTTTGATTATTAAAAAAAAAAACAACGGACAACACACGAAACAAAAGAATGCAGCACCAGGGCTCTCGTTTCTAACCGCCAGCGCTTGTACTCACGTCTCAATTAAAAACCATAAGCCACGAAATAGGTTTTCCCTGGGAAAAAGCCAGGATCCTGGGAAGGAAGGCAGCAGCCTGCTGCTCCGCCACGGTGATGCGTCCCAGACAGCCCGTATGTAAAGGTAATGGCAGAGCTGCTTCTTTCTGTTCCATTTTCAGATGGCATTGTGAGATTCTGTCAACAGGAAAAGTTATTTTAAACGCAGCATAACCCAAATTTTCCACGCAGTGCTTTCGCACCGAAGGTCAACCTGCTTGTTTTCTCATTGCTGATAAGAAAGCAAATGTTTTTTGATAATTATAACATCGAACACCCTTGGACTCCAGCATGTGTAGTGTGCATATCATGTACCTGAGCGTGAGTGTGCAGAGGTGGGCACGAGTCAAACCTCCTGGGTGCAGGGTGTGTGCATGGGAGGCAGCTCCAGCACCGACCTGAAGCTGAGCACGTGTCTTGGTAAAGGAGGCGGTTCAGCAGGCCACTTCTGCTCCAGCATTACCAGGCACTGCTGGAAACGTCAAGAAGGCACTGAGATAACCAAGCTTGGAAGAAAAAATACGTACAGGAGCAGGTGTGTATTCTGCCATCTGACAGGTAGAGTGCCTTCGGTGCCCTGTGCTTCTGTAGTTCAGTGACGAGTGCGATGAGGAGCTGCAGCACGCTGTAGCTGCATTCTAGAAAGAAGCAAACCCAGGTTATTTAACTGTGTTTCCTCCTATATTCCATCGTTTTTATATTTGATGTTAAAAACAGAGAGCACTTTTGATTATGACTATTATTTTGCATTGACAGCCATTTCACTCTGTGTATGTACCTGCATATCATGTCTATCCACTGGCACAATCAGACACGCGCCACTAAAAATAAGACTTTTTATGGGGATGAAAGTCTGCATGATGCCTACTGGCACTGCTCCTTTTAGGTTCGTTTCAAAGGTTTGAATAGCGAGTGCCTAAATGGTTGGTCTAACGTTCAATACAAAGAAAATACAAAAGAAAATAAAACACACGTTCTGTGTTGAGAACGACAGGTCCTGGAGCGATCCAGCACCCGTGACACATCTATATCCATAGCTTGGCAATCGCCCTGCCAGGAAAATATGTTGTGTCAGCTCACACCAAGTTTAGAAATGCAAAGAAGAAGATGATAAAATTTCCTTAATCGAAATGAAGGAATAGAGTCTCTAAAAGTATATGCCAATTATTGCAGAGCAGATTTTTAAAGTCTTTCAAGCTTTTAAAGATTATTCAAAGCACTTGAAATAGGCTTCAATCTAATGCCTCATTTCATTGCATTAAACAGCCTAGTTAATAAAGAATCAATATATTCAAAGGGCAAGGTTATCTTTTGTCTATAAGGGGTGGTGTCATTCTGAACCTTTTATAGTTCAAATGCTGAAAAAGACCTCATGAAATCCATACTCATCAAGTGGGTCAACTAGAGCAATAAAGAGGCCCCTGAAAGAATGGCTGCGCTCCTTTAAAACAACTATAAGTCTTATCTCCCCCGCATAGTGCTTGCGCAGAATCAGCCAGAAAATGTCAATTTCTCATCAAGACAAGAGGCCCAATGATAATTTTTTTCTAGAGAATACATACAATTAGGAGAATGCAGAAAGGCCCCATCAGTGATTTGTAGCTTATTATGTCACCAGCAAGCTGCGATCTACTGCTAAGCAGATAATAAGGGCTGTTGATAACTGAAGTGTCAATATGCCAAAGAACGATTTTTGAATGTGAGCCCTTGTGCTTTTTTTCCCCTCCTTGTGCAGATCACAGGGCCTGATAACAGAGCATCTGCCAACCGACACCGCGCGCCGGACCACACAATTAATGCCATGAATAAATAGCACAAAAGAGTTTGGATTCTTTATACTCTTTGAGACAATTCCCTGTTTTACCCTTCAAGGATTTCTTTTATGTTCGAATAAGGTTGCTTTTAATGAAATTTAAACTCATCAGAGGAAATCAAAACCCTCAAATCAGATTACAAATTGATTTTTTTTTTTTTTTTTTTTTTGGTCATTTGTCATTATACAATGTACTGCCCTAAGTTTTACAGGAAAAGGAAGAGAAAGTGCAGGGTATTGAGTAAGAGTATGCAAACAGTCTTGGAAAAGGCATATGAAAGAGGAACGTTCCTAAAATTCCACAAGAAAGTTTTAAAGAGTTGATGTGTATCAACACGCGATCGTTACTGTTATGCTCACCATGTGCTGGTTATAAAGAAAAAACTATACTAGAACTTTGAAATGCATACATTAAATCACCAAACCCAAATGATCACTGTTTTTCTTATATATAATGCTAGATGTCTTTGTTACATACAAGGAATTAAATATTATTTCTCCCAGCTCAGGTCAATAGCAGCAGAAGGTGAATCTGAGAGTGGGTCTGGTACCCCTTCCCTTTGGTGACGTTGCCAGTGCAGTCTGGCCAGCTAAAATACGATGCTGGCAACATATGCTATATACAGCCATGATCTTTTTGTTTCCTTCTGCGTTCCAATAAAGTCACTGTTGTACTACCACGTTTTTGTTTTCTCTTTATTTATCAGCTTGAAGAAACGAGATACAGTAAATTGGTTACTAAACGCTAATTTCTGTAGCCTGAAATTTTTAGAGGACTTCTGTTGTGATGTGACACTGTTTTCCACTTGCCCTGAGATAAATGAAAAGATCTGAGAAACTTCTTTGTAACAAAGGAAGGCATTAATTTCCCCAGACCACTGGGAATGGTGAGTGCAAAACAGATCTGCTCCAAGCAGACAGAGCTCACAGCGTTGTATAGATTGCTCAAAACCAAACAGCCCACCAACCAACCACAAACTAACAAAAATGGAAACTGAGTCCAGAATTGGTCTGTGTAATACAGCCAACAAGCTCTGAAGTTGCCCTGTACTGACAGTGGGATTAGCATAGGGACAGCAAGGGGAAGGAGGAGATCAGCCAGGAGGACTTGGGGGAGCTGCACAGAGCGGAGCTGCCCTGGGCACAGGGCTCCACAGCTGCCATTGCCTCGGCCTGGCTGTGGTGCCAGCGGGCAGGAGGATGCTGGCATCAACCTGGCCAGACATGGAAGCACTTGAAACCATAATGACTAGAAATAATTCAGAACCTGCAATAAGTTGTCTTGCAAGGCTGTCTGGGCAGACCGAGTGTCACTCAGTGAGGAAGGGTAAATAAGTACTGAAAAGGACAGGAGCCATGCCATACAGTAGGAGCCACTCCAGCTCAGCAGGGAGTCCCATCTCTGAGCACCCAAGCCCTCCAGCAACCTATCCAGCCTCCCTGCTGCCCCATGCCCTTCCCTGGGGCAGCACTAGGCTCTCCGTGGGGCAGCAGGCAGGCTGCAGCAAGGCTTTGGGCAGCCTGGGGGGGGCATGGCCCACAGCCAGAAATAAAACCAGGAGGGCCAGACAGCTTCACAGGTTTACACATCACTTTGGAAAAGTAAGCTGTGTGAAGAAAACAGCAAAGCGTAGATCGGTTTGGGATAAAAGCTTCCAAAACATACTCGAGGGGGAACACCACCAGTTTCACCTACATCAGGTGAAAGGGCCAGGTGTGTACATCTGTGGGTCAATGTTGGAAAATCCCACAGTGCAGCTGTGCTGAACAGGTAGCTCTGGAAGAGCCTTGGGCTTCCTCCCTGGACATCAGTGAAATTGAAGAGCGGACATTTTTACAAAATGGAATTCCTGTTTTTGAATCTTAAGGAAACAGAGCTGACAGAGCTGGAACCAGACCCTAGCAAGTGAGCCCAGCCACTGCTATGCTCTGCTCAGCTGAGGGCTGAGGAACTCAGAGAGGAAGGTGGTAGTGGATGAGCTGCTGTATCTGTGCTTTTGCAGTCAAGTCATGGGAGACAAAAATCATGGTTTAATCATCTGCAGGGGGATAAGAATGGAAGAAGGTCTACAAAGCAGGGTGAAACAGTTCTAGGGAGAGGGTGAGATTTAGTTTGCTCTAAATCAGAAAGTAGCACTACCAGCAAAAAGCCATGCAAAAGGGACTCAGCTGTGATGCCAAACATGGTCAGTCCCATTTAGCAGGTGGCAGGGACAGGATGAAGGCATCACGCTCATGCTGTGATGCCCCATGAGGTAACTCAGCCCTGCTCAGGCACCTCATGATTGATACATGCTTGCAGAAGTGATGAAATGAACCTTTTTTCTATAGAAGTGGGAAGAAAATAGAAGGAATTTACCTTTGAATTTTGTAGAACCAATATCTCCATAGAGCAGGGTGTCAGGTAAAATCATTTCGAGGTTTTGTCGCCTGAGGTCTACCTTCGATGGTTGGGGGCTTTCCCACCATTCAGCATCCATGTTTCTCATTTGTTTCTCTTTATTTTCAGTCCACAGTGCCATGTCTGCACCACGTGGAGACCAGTCACTTGTGTTTGCATATCCCACGTTGTATCCCAAACCAGTCTAAGCTGCCAAAGACTGCACTGCTGCTGGGATGCTGCTTTGCAGAGCAGTTCATGTTCGCTTTATGTTGCTGTTGAGTGGGAAAGCAAGACCCTTGCAGTAGGCCATCAAATCCAGCAGTTACCTCTGCAGGTGAGAACTGTTATCCCATACTGCTGCAAGAACTGGTCAGATCCCAGGTAGGACAAAGAGGAGGCTGGAAGACAAATGCTTCATCTTCTCTCAGTGCTACATCATGTTTGCACAGCATGGTTTGCTGTGGGTGTCTTGCATGATCCATATGGATGGAAGAGCCTTCAGAAGCTGCTGTGCAGGAAACAGACAGAAGTTAAGCAGATAAAGAAGATAAAGATGCCCAAAATGCACTGCTTTAGGTAGCATTAAGATGTCACAACCACAAAACCAGAATGCCTCAAAGAGTAATAGATGCATGTTAGTGTAACCAGCTACAGATCTCACATTGTTCGTGTAAGTGCAAAAATCTGAGAAAAGTTCTTTTAAATCTTTTTGTTAACATTACTCTGGCAAGCAGTTAGCAGAAGCAAATCAAGCACTGTTGCTCTCTGGGTGCTGCCCCTACTATGAGGGAAATAACCTGCAGCAGCACACCAGGCCGTGCAATGGGGACTCATCAGCCACAAACTGGTAGAGAAGAGTTTGTGCTTCCAGGGCAGCTGGATGGGGCTGGCAGAGCAAGGGCAGGGACGTGGTGTTTTTGTGCAACAGGGACGCCACAAGTTCAATCAGGGTCAGGAAAACATATTTTTTTCTATGCTGAAATTATCCATTCCGAATGGAAACAGACACAAATAACTCTGGTGTGTGAACTGTACATACCTCCCACCGTTCACTGCTCCTGTAGTAAGTTCAAATATAAGGAAGAGCAGAAACAACAGGCTTGGGTGCTAAAATATACATTCCAGCCATCACAACTGGACTGCCTCAAGGTCAAATTTACACTGCTTTCTACCACCACTCTCTATTTTCTCTCTAATGAAATGACCCTTGTCCTGCAGTCTTCTGGCACCATGGTGAGAAGAGAAAGCCTTCTCGTTGTCTGCTGTCATGGCTACTCTGCCCCATATTTTCAATGCAAAGATTAAATATTGATACATAGCAGGGCAGTAAGAGCCACTGACCAGGGATGCAGTGCTGCTGGTGGGATGGGCTGCCCACCCCTCTGCCTCACAGTGACAAACCTTGTGCAAGCCCTTCCAGCAACAGTGCAGGAATGTCTGTTCCTTTCAATGTATTTGTCTGGTTCAGGTCAATGACTAATTCACTTGAAACTGAAAACCCGACTGGGAGCTGGAAGAGCAGAAAATGTGTTTTCCTCTCCCTGTCCATGAATAAAAAATAGATTTGAAAGGATAAGATCCACCAGTTTTAGCATCTTGAAGGACGTGGTGACCACAAACCACCCATTCAGCATTTTGAATGTAGATAATACCATTTCCTTTGCTTAGTAGCTCTATGAACGTATTAACTCTAAACGCATAGGTTGTTTAGAAGAGAACTTGACAACGCATGGAATACTACGGGAAATGCAACATCCAGCCATTTCATAGACACAGAAATACAAAGCATATAATCTGAACGTTAAATAGAACTGCCTACACAAAAGGAAATAGTTCAAGTAACCCAGGTCAGCAGACTGAACAGCCAGAAGACATGCATATTTGGAAAAAAATGATGGGTGCAGGCCTTGGGAAGGAGCCTGGGCTCTCCCATAGGAAAAACCAACGCAGGACAGCGATTTCAGACAAAACCTTTTCCTTAGACCTTGTGGATACTTCTGTGGATACTTACCCAATACCTGGTGATGGAAAAGCCACCCATCAGCATCCTCTTTCCCGGTGTACACATGCATGCAGTGCAGCCTACAGCACCTCATCCAATGCTGCTTCCTTTGCTCTTCACTCCATCTTTAATGCAGCGTTGCCCTTCGGTAGCTGTGTGGTTAGGGTTAGGGTTACGCCTGTGACATTTTAGGGTCAGCAGTTCTGTCTCAGGGTCCATTTTCACACGAGCTGACCTCCTGGAATTTTGTTTTCAAGCAACATTTGGCCATCTCATTTAAACTCCATTTATACATCTCCTGTAAACTCAGGTTTACAGGATCCAAGTCTGCATTTGTGATGAAGGGCCGAGCCCGGGCTCTGATGTGGCAGACTGTGAAGCACCAGGAACGTACTGTGCTGCAGCGAGCCAGTGATGGCCACACACTGCCAGCAATGCAAACCTGGTGCTTGTGCCACCTCATACAGCCCAACTGGGGAGCAGCCTTGCTGCACAGGACCTCCTCAGTCAGGGACAGGTGCAGGCATGCTGGCAATCAGCAAAGCCAAGGTGTATTTCCTGCAGCATGCAGCTGGGGGCATTTTGCAACTCATTTTGCCGGAGAAAACTTGTTATTTAATTGCCTTTGCTGCTGCTGGATCGGAGTCAAAATGAGTGGGAATATCAGGTCCTGCCAGATATATTCAATCATATTACGGCTTCTTTCCCCCGAATGGATGCGGCGTGCCAGTGAGCAGTGAAGCAGTTAAACACAGCCGTGCAGATGCCAGCAAGGCTGCGATTTCACAAGGAGCATCCCACCAAAATGAACAAGGAGAACGCACACATCCCCAGGTGCTTCTACCAGTCCCCACAGAGAGCTTACGGGAAGGGAACTCAATGGCTTGGCCAACTGCTGGAAGGAGGGATCTCTGTTCTGACAAAGCACGAATACCATCCAACACAGCCCCTAAATAAATAGTGAGGGCTGTTAAAATTCAGAAGGATGCATTCACGCTGCCAAGCAGGTGGAGCGAGGAGGCAGAGGTGCCCCCAACAGCCCAGC